GCAAATTCTCATTAACAAAACCAATTTGAAACTCGTGCAGATTTGCTAAAGTTCCATTATTCGTTTATCCTCGACTTACTAAACCCCAACTGGCGCTGTTCACAGTTAACTGACAATATAAGCATCAGAGCTTTTCATTAGTTAGTTAGAGCCAGGGAATCTGCTGGTATTGATCATTTGGGAAATAGCTAATTTTACTATGGTTGGACTTTAATTATTACAGAAGTGATTACATTTTAACGGTACTTCATTTGGCTGTGAAGCCCTTTCAGATGTCCTGCTGTTGTGAAAAATGCTATGTAAGTACATGTTCCTTCTTCAGTTGAGTTCCTGGAAATTTGACTATTCAACCTGAAGCATTTTGCAACAGTATCCATTGTTAGAATTAATTGACTGTAGCCAGCTGACCAAATCTTTTGCTTTAACAAATGATCGACTGAGTTATCTTTTCTGTATTTTTCAGGCTCGAGCTGGCATTATTGGCACAGTGGAAGTTTTAAAAGTCATGGAGGCTTTTGTGAATGAGCCAAATTACACAGTGTGGAGTGATTTAAGCTGCAATCTGGGGACACTTTCTACCTTAATGTCCCACACGGATTTTCATGAAGAAATGCAAGAGTTTATTGTTGACCTGTTCTTGAACATTGGCCAGAAGCTTGGCTGGGACCCAAAACACAATGAGGGTATGACTTTAAACCCTAATGATTTCAATGTGACCTCTACTTAAAGCAACCATCTTAATCTATGGTTGTTATTCTTCCTATTTCAACTGAATCCAAATTACAAAGAATGTGGAATACTTCTTCACATTACAACCTGGAGTCACCTTCATGCTCATGTGGAAAGCCATGCAATACCAAGTTGCTTCCTTCCTTTGTTTTATTAGGGTCATTGGAGAAACAGTGGGAGAAGTTGAACCTTCATGTCTGCTTTCAATATTCTTTCCTAATGGATCAAACTTGATTATTGGGAAAGTCTGAGAGTCCCAATTCTTCCCATTAGAGAAGGCTTGTCTGTGCATGATCTGCACATATGAAGAATTAGAAAAATAATTGTATGATCATTCATCACGGACCATAGGATAGTAGCATAAGAATTTTAAACGTTACTAGTCCAGTGAAAAAACTGATACTGTAATACACCAACCAAAGATGAGGATCAAAGCTTTTTTTGATGTTGTGACTACAGGTGATGATGCCTATAACTTAAAGGGGTTGGTGGTCTGGTTCAGCTGGGTGAACAAATATAGGTGTAAGGAGAAAAATGTGTGGAAAAGATGATTTTGCTGCAAAAAGGTGCAGCATTGTGTTCGACCAGCAGAGAAATTATCACCAGTGTCAAAAAAATTGACGTAATCACGCCCAACTAAAAGTTAGTTTAGAAGAAACCATTGAGACAGTGAAGTTGTTTAATTTGGAACCTAAAGATGTGCCTGACTTGATGTAATAATGGAGCGCCATTAAATGTTCACATGGAGAAGGCTGCTGCCTACATTACTGATGTTGAAGTATATGGAGGTAAGCACCCTTATGGGTTTAAGATGGTTCTCAAGCACTGGGGAATTGTTGATTGATCAAATAGAGTAGAATCATAAAATGGTAATAGCACAGGAGGAGGGTATTCAGCATTCAGATGTGTGTTAGCTTTGTTTAAAAATAAACTCCTTGTTCTACCTTTTCCAAGAGAGTGGAGATATAGGGGTTATTTTATGATGGTTTCGATATGCTAACATGTTCTCCAGGCTTCAGCTTCTTAGCATAGATATTAATGGCTTGAATGAAGGAATAAAGTTGTATACTTAACTTGGAACATGTCACTTAGAAATATATTGTGTAGGTGGTAGGCAGAAGTTACAAAAAGATGCAGATATACTAAGACAGTGTGCAAATCTTTGAACAATAGAATTTGATATGGGAAGGTGAGAGTCTCCACTTTAGAACAAAAAATGATAGATCGGAATATTTTCATAATGGCAAGGCATTAGGAACAATAAAGGAGCCAGGGTTTAAATATTCATAAGTTCAAATCTCTAATAGTATACTGTACATACAGAAAGGTAGTTAAAAAGATTAATGGAATGCTCCCTTTTTAATCAAAGGGGTTTGGAGGTCAAAGGTAAAGAAATGATGCTTCCGTTTTACAGACTTAGTCGGATCCCATTTAAACTATTGGATTCCATTTTGGACACTGCAGAGAAAAGTTTTAGGTACAATGCAGGTTCCCCAAAACAGAAACCGAGCTTAAAACACAGATTGGGTAAACTTGGCTTGTATTCTCTCAAATTTAAAATTTGCGAGGTATTCAGTATCAAGATGTTTCAAATGATTGAAGGATTGGGGTTATTATAAGTTTCCTTTTGTGGGGGAAATTCAAAATAAAACAGAATCTTTAAATCAGAGCTAGGTGATTTAGAAGCAAAATCGGGGAACACTTTTCCACACTCATGCTAGTGAATCTAGAGCTAGAACAGGCTAGAGAATCTGGAACTCACTTCCACAAAAAGCTTTACTTTGAGTTAAGCCATTTCAAGACTCCAATCAGTAGAACTTTGTTAAACAGGGGAATCATGGAATATGGGAACAAATGGAGATGAGCTGTTAATTAGCCACAATCTAATTGAATGTACATGAAGTAGGCCTGGTAAAAGGGTTGCTTCGGGTGACGATAAGAGTTTTACATTGGATAGGATGAGGAGCAAGACAGTCGCATGGAGCAGACTCAGGAATAGTGTTGCTTGAAGTGGAGCCAGGGAAAGGCCGCATGGAGCGGAAATTAGACATCAGATGACTTCACAGTGGATTGGAAGGATGACAGCTAAAGGAGTACAGATTAGCAAAAACCTGGAGGTGTTTGCAAGATTTTGGGAAGACCTAACTATGGACAGAGAGTTTGACATGTTGTGAGGCATGGAGCTGCTGTAGGTCAGGAGTGATTGGAGTTATAAATCAGTGGGACATGAAAATGCCAACATCTCATCTTAGGTGAGTTGGAAACAGTAGAAAGTTGGTTCTAAAAGTCGGAGTTGGAAAGTGGTTTTGCAGCAGGTGGGAGAAGAATAAAAATAGCTTACAGTGATGAAGAAAGGAAATGAATGTCTTGGCTATGAAAAGGATTTCAAGCTAATTCACAATTGAACAGGACTGACCATTTAATCAAAAAGAAACAAAGAGTATGTGGATGCTGAAAATCAGAAACAAAAAATTGCTGGAAAATCTCAGGCCTGGCTACATCTGTGGAGAGAAAGCAGACTTAATGTTTCAGATCTGTTGACCCTTCCACAGAGCATTCTGGCCGCCATTTCATTCTGCCAAAAACCTCACGCCCAAGGTAGCAAAGCTTTCAATCAACAGCTAAATAAAATGGGTTATAAAATAGCTTTAATTTGTTTAACACTTTTTAATATAGAAAAAGGTCCGAAGTGGTTCGTAAAGGCACAAGGATAAAATAAACTCCAAGCCAAATAATTTCTGAAGAAGGGTCCAGACCGAAATGTCAGGTTTTCTGCTCCTCTGATGCTGCTTGGCCTGCTGTGTTCATCCAGCTTTACACCTTATTATCCAAGCCAAATAAGATGTGTTAGGAGAACGTACTAGACATTTGGACAAAGACCTGTACTTTGAGGAAAGCTGAAAAGGATGCAGTGGACTTTGACAATGGCATTTAGCAGACTCCGGTTCAAGCAGCTGAAGGCCATTGGTCAGTAAATTCACAAGAAATTAGGTCTAATGAAAATTAATCAAAAGTGCAACTCAAAGCAGAATTCATGAGTAACTGGTGATGAGACGTGACATGTCCGTCTTATTCTACTGTTGATCCTTAATAGTTAGGGCAAGTGATGTAGTGTAGTGAGACATCCCATAACAAACTTCTCACAATTTCTACGTTTAACACATGATGAACAAATTGTTGCAAAAATATTGCAGTCTTTCACAAAAGGTTTTTGACTGTAAAGTACTGAATTATTTGCTGTTGAATCCAATTGTTTGTCTTTGCCGTAATAAAATTTTTGTTGAAACATGCAGTGGAGTTTGATTTAAAGAGACTTTTACAGAGAAATTGGAGAACATTAGCAAGGCACTGTTGAGAAACTCTATAATTGACAATCCTGGAACTAACAATATGACTCCTTATGGTGAATAAGTCTGAACAGAGTTCCTGGGAGTGATAAAGTTCATGTCTGTGGTGATTTTGTCCTTGATTTGCCTGCCAGTATTTAATTGATAAATATCGCAGCATATGTTGTAATGACTTTTTGTATGTCTGTAATACAAGCTATGTGATGCTCTGCCAAGGAAAGCTGATCACCTGTGACAGTCCAGGCCAAATATTTGCCCAGACTTTCTGGTAGTCTGACGGTTTCATTCTAGTTTAGGTTGGAGTTGCACATGTGGACCCTGCAGAATCTCCATCATAGCAGACTCCAAAAGGAATTGCCCATGAAATTGAAGATTTCACTGGACAGTTCTCCTCTGCCTGGAGCCCTCCAAAAGTCTCCATTTAAATTGGGGAAATTTGGAGCATTGTGATGAAATTACGTAAAATAGCTACACAAGAAAAGTTGTTATATTAAATATGTAGTGTAATTCTTGAGTAACTATTCAACTAACCTCATACTTAGCTCTCTAACTCCCAGCTATACTTCCCCCAGTGCATTTACAACCTCCAGGACCCAACCCCTCTATTCAGAAGATGCAATTGCCACTGCTCAAACATTCAGCCCACCATTTTACTGTGCTTTGTGAATATGACTTATATGGAAATGTTATATAGTGGCTTATGGTAATTGATATAGTATGCTCCTGGAATGATAATCCAGAGGTTGTGGTTTCATATTCCATTATAGCAATTGTGAATTTTGAAAACAGACATTGTAATTTGAGGGCTGTATTAGAAAAATTATTGTTGTATTCCTGTGCTTCAGTGAAAAGCCAGGAGCCATATACCACCTGTCAGTCTGGCCAGACATAGCCACATTATTTAAGATTGGAGTAATGTCTTTAATGACCCAAGGTCAATTGACCTGTTGATGACAGCCCAAGTAAGACTTAAAAATGGAATTTTTTCCTTCCTCTTCTCACCCTGTGTCTGCGTTCTCTCGGAATTTTGCTGATATGCATGTAGTATTTTTAGTATGTAATGTCTATATTTGCATGTTGTATGCCTGACATCTCAGTAGATATTAGGATAGCTAGGGTATCTATGGTTAGGTTCATTTTTTTAAAAAACCATTAATGGACTCCTGTTTTAAATTTGTGTCTCAGGTCACCTAGACGCGCTCCTGAGAGGCTTAGTCCTTGGAAAGTTGGGAAAAGCTGGGCACCAGCCAACCATAGAGGAAGCCAGGCGTAGGTTTAAGGATCATGTTGAAGGAAAACAAGTCTTGTCTGCTGATCTACGAAGTCCTGTAAGTTTGGGTTCTTTTAATACTTCAGATTGCTTTTATACGGTGTTTGTTTTGCCAAATTTAAGAGGGGGGAAGAATGTGTTAAACTTGAAAAGATTTTGCCCAGGACTACTTTTGGTATCAATTTCTTAATTTTGGTTTGGGAAATAAGTTTTAAAAGTAATATGTTTCACTCAGCAAAATCATGTTCCTCCTTAATTTGATATATTATGATGATGATATTTGGCTGAATGCTCAGCAATTGTGAAGGAGAGCCATAGCCAAACAGTCCAAATATTTGTCTTTGAGTTGGAATTGTTCCGTTATTCTGGTTGCTGTTTAGGGGCTTTTGTTAGCTTCCTCTTCTCAAAACTTTGAGTTTTTTTCTGTTGCGTGATAGCCCCAGTCTGTTAGCCTTGTTTGAGATTTCCAAAATATGCTGGTTTGACCAAACTACTGAACTTGATGAAAATTTGGCAACTGTATAAAAATAATTCAGATCTGGCTACCATTGAAGTTCTGAAATGATTTTCAGTTACATCAAAGAACAGGTTATGCCTTACAGCCACGATAAATATAGATATATTACTGGTTATTTAAGTTGGGAGCAAGAGAGGAACCAGTTAACTACGGACTGATCTGCAGACGTTCAAGGAAGCAGCTGACCATAGAGCATAGGAACAGAAGCAGGCCATTTAGTTCTCAGGTCTGCTCCAAAATTCAATTAGATCGTGACTGATCTGTTAATCCACTTTCCTGCCTTTTCCCTACAACTCCTTGTTTCTTTACTTTTTTTTAAATTCTTCACAGAACATGAGCATTGCTGGCTAGACCAGCATTTTGTTGCCATCCCTGATTTTCCACAGGGCAGTTAAGAGTCGACCATATTTGCTGTGGATCAAATGTAGACCAGGCCAATAAGGATAGCAGTTTCCTTCCCTAACGGATATTAGTGAACCAGGTGTTTTCTTTTTCTGACAATCAACAATGATTTCACCGTCGTCATCAGACCTATAATTGCAAATTTTTTTCAACTTTATTAAAAATTATTTAATTCAAATTCCACCATCTGGCTTAGTGGGATTTGATTAGAAATCTGTCGATCACACTAAAAAAACAGCTTCTATACCTTTCCACAGTAAGGACTTTCAGATTCACCATGAAAGGTGAAATTCCTCTTCATCTCTGGCCTAACTGGGTGACCCCTGACTCTGAGATTCTGGTTCTGGACTTCCCCACAAGCAGAAACAACCTCAGCATTTACCCTAATAAAAACCAAAAGAACTGTGGATGCTGTAAATCGGGAACAAAAACAAAGTTGCTGGAAAAGCTCAGCAGGTCTGGCTGCATCTGTGAAAAAAAGTTAACGCTTTGGGTCTGGTGACCCTTCCTTAGAACCGGACCCAAAACGTTAACTGATTTTTTCTTCACAGATACTGCCAGACCTGCTGAGCTTTTCCAGCAACTTTGTTTTTGTTCAGCGTCTACCCTGTCCTCTGGAATCTTAATCCAGCTTTGGCTAACCAGCTAATGGGTAATCAGGCATCTACCCTAACCTCTATATCTGCCACCTGCCAGATTTTCACCGACTTAGTTCACTTGGCCATATCCCTTTGTAGATTCGTGTTTATCATCCTCACCATTTGTTTTTCCACCTATTTTTGTCACCTGCAAAGTTGGCAATACTGCATTCACATACCTCATCCAAGTCATGAACGTATATTATAATTAATTGTGGCCCCAGCACTGATCCTTGTGGCATTCCAAGAGTTGCAGTTTGACATCCTGAAAATTCCCCCCTTAGCCCAATTTTCTGTCTTCTTTTAGTTATCCAGTCCTCTGCACATGCTAATATATTACTTGAACGCCATGGGCTATTAGGTAGCCTCGTGCAGAACGTAATCACGTTTTGGAAATCCAAATCTAATCCATCTACTGATTCCCCTTTGTCTATCCTGCTTGTTACCACCTCAAAGAATTCTAATAGATTTGGAATATCATGCTTGATGATCATAAAATCTTGCTTACTTTGCATGATTATATTATGAATTTCTAAATGCTCTGCTCCTGCGTCCTTTATAATAGACTCTAGCATTTCCCAATGACAGATGTTAAACTGTCTATAGTTGCCTGTTCTAGTCTCCCTCCCTTTTTGAGGAAGGGTGTCACATTAACAGTTTTCCAATCCTCCAAGACTTATTGAGAATCTGATGCTTGGAAGATTATCAGTGCCTTCAGTATTTCTGTAGCTAGTTCCTTTAATATCCTAGGAAACAACTAATCAAGCCTCATTATTTTAGTACTTTAATCCCTAGTATTACTACTTTAGTTATAATTTTATTTATTTATTGTATTTATCACCTCTATCCCTTCTGACCCTTGATTATTCGGTATTTTTGGAATGGTATTAGTGTCTTCTATCCTGAAGACTGATGCAAGGTATTTATTTAACTGCTCTGCCATTTCCTGGTTCCCCATTATAATTTCTCGCTTTCTGATAGTTTACCGTCGAAGTTTAATTTTAAAAACTTTCCGAATCCTCTGGTTTATTATATTGGATAGACATAAACAGAATCCCTGTAGTGTGGAAACAGGCCCTTTGGTCCAACAAGTCCACGCCGACCCTCAATGCATCCCACCCAAACCCATTCCCCCTATAACCCACCTAACCTACACATCCCTAAACACTATGGGCAATTTAACATAGCCAATCCACCTAGCCTGCACATCTTTGGACTGTGGGAGGAAACCGGAGCATCCAGAGGAAACCCATGCAGACACTGGGAGAACGTGCAAACTCCACACAGACAGTCGTCCAAGGATGGAATCGAACTCTGGTTCCTGGCACTGTGAGGCAGCAGTGCTAACCACTGAACCACCGTGCCGCCCCTAATTGTTTGTTTTTTCCTTGCAATTTGATGCTATCCTTAAACCATTCATGGTTAATTCAGGAGGTTATCTCCTTCCTCGAATTCTTCTTCGTCAATGGAATATACCTTTGTTGAATCATGAACTATTTTCTTAAATGTCTGCCTGTCTTTTCTGCTAAACTCCTTTCCTAATTGACTGCAGCTACTTCTGCCCTCATTCCTTGTTAGTTACTCTTACTTTAAGTTTAGCACAGTTATTTCCAAGCCAAGTTTCTCTCGCTCATCTGAATGCTAAGTTCTACTGTGTTATGGTTACTGCTTCCTAGGAGATCTTTTATTCTTAAACTGCCTCATTACCCATTACCAGATCCAAAATAGCCTGATCTCTGTTCGGATCCAGAACGTATTCTGGGAATTGCTCTGAATATACAATGTGAATTTTTCCTTGTAGTTACCTCTGCCAATTTGATTTTCCCAGTTTGCATGAAGATTAAAGTTGCCCGTGATTAATGTACTGCTTTTTTATTTCCATGCCCTCATTATCTCCTGATTTATTCTGTCTTCCAGCATAGCTACTTCTAGAGAGCCTATAGGCTAATCTCGCCTGTGTCGTCTTCCCCTTTTTATTTATCACCAGTTGTATTATTTTTACATCTTCTAATCCACATGATTTCTTGCTGTCATACCTTATTCATCTCACAGTAACAAAGCTACCCTGTCCTTTTGCCTGTCTTTTCGAAAAGTCACAATCCGAATAATGAGTTTCCAGGTTAGAGCTCCATCTGTCTTTTTAATGGCTATAAGATCATACCCATTAATGTCTATTTGTACCATTAATTCATTTATTTAGATAAAATACTACAAGGATTTCAGAACCACTAATTTTGCCTTTTAACATTTTTCCCCCCTTTGACCGTATTTGCTGTTATTTTTCTATGTTTATACGGTCTGTCCCTCTCTGGGTTTCATGATCCAAATAGCTGCAATGCTGCTTACATTTCCCCTCTCCCAAACAACCCCACCACCTAGCCACCCATGAGCACTTGCACACACGAATTCAAAGCCCCAGTTGCTCAATTTATCCAGGATACTCATCCCAGCACAGCTCACATGAATCCCTTCACACTGGAACAGCTCCTTTCTACCCCAGTACTGGTATCAGTGCCCATTGAACTGAAATCCATTCTTTACCAGTCTTTGAGCCATGCGGTTCATTCCCTGACTTTATTTACCCTCTGTCGGTTTGCCTGTGTCTCAGGCAGTAGTCTTAAGATTATTGGAAGTTCTGCTTTTTAATTTAGCAACTAACTCTTCAAATTCTTTGCACCACCTTCTCAAGGGCACTAGGGATGATCAATAAATATTTGATCCAGCCAGTGAACCTCTGACCCCTGAAAGGCAGATGTGCAAAGTCACTGCAATTATAATCAGAGATTGAGTGAATAATTAACTAGGACATAGAACAGTACAGCACAGTACAGGCCCTTCGGCCCATGATGTTGTGCCAAACTTTTACACTAAATCAAAGGTCTATCTAACCTCCACCACTACCTTATACTATCATCCATATGCCTATCTAATAGCTGCTTAAAAGCCCCTAATGAGGCCGACTCCACTACCCTCTCTGGCAATGCATTCCACGCCCCTACCACTCTGAGTAAAGAACCTACCTCTGACGTCTCCCCGATATCTACCTCCTTTCACTTTAAAACTATGTCCCCTCATAAAAGCAACCTCCACCCTAGGGAAAAGTCTCTGGCTGTCTACTCTATCTATACCTCTGATCATTTTGTACACCTCTATCAAGTCACCTCTCATCCTTCATCGTTCTAAAGAGAAAAGCCCTAGCTCTGTCAACCTTTCCTCGTAAGACCTTCCCTCCATTTCAGGCAACATCCTGGTAAATCTCCTCTGCACCTTTTCTAACACTTCCACATCTTACCTGTAATGAGGCGACCAGAACTGGACACAATACACCAGATGTGGCCGAATCAGGCTTTTGTTTAGCTGGAGCATAACTTCACGGCTCTTGAACTCAATCCCTCTATTAATGAAAGCTAACACACCATACGCCTTCTAAACAACTCTATCCACCTCGGTGGCAGCTTTCAGGGAACTGTGAACATGAACCCTAAGATCCCTCTGCTCCTC